TCTCATTGGGACGGGGGAACCGGGCAGCCAGCATTGACGTGGATGGATCGACAACAACGACCAAAAAAAAAAAGAAGAACGTGGGTTTCTTTGTGTCAGTCACTGCATAGAAGAAGAAGAAAAATATACCCCTCCCCCCGATTCATGATGCATCCTATCCATGCATCCCCCTTTGTCTAGCTAGATGCGACACACACGCTTTTTGTTTGGAGCATGAGATGGTGGCATTGCAAGGGGCCGGGGCGGGCGCGGTGGGGCGGGCCGGCATGGTGATGATGAATTGTGATGGTTTTCCTACTTGCTTTCGTTTTGTTTTCCTTATCGACGTCGTCCCCCTTTTTTTTCACTGTCTGAAAATGGTGTGAATGAGACCTTTCATGATGGATGGATAGGACAGGGCAGGGTGTTTGCGCTCGGGTGGGTGGGTGGGGTGGTGGTGCATTACGAACAGGGCTGGGTTTTCTGGTTGGAATGAAATACTGAACTGAACTAACTGACTGCTGCTGGCATCATTGATTTCGAATCGAATCCATGGTTTGTGCTTTTTGTTTTCCGTCGTTTTGTCATATGTCGTCTGTCTGGCTGGCTGGCTCTCTGGCTGGTTTTGCTTGTTAGAGGAGCATTGCATTCGTTGTTCGGTTTGTCTGTCTCTCTGTCTGTCTGTCTGTCTTGGAAGTCAGAAGTGCGTATGCATATCTTCGGTCTGGGGCACTGCGGGGGTGTGTGGTGGGGCTGGCTTCAAAAAAGTCTTTTCTGCGTCATGAGGGTTTCTGGTGAGTTGTTTGAGTGGATTTTTTTAGGTTTGTTGCGCTGACTTGTTTTTTTTTTTTTTTTGGTGCTAGGTCTAGGGAAGCAAGCATGAGTACTACCAATGATAATGTATCACATCACGACGGTATGCAAGTGCTTGCTTGGTTGGTGCTTGCGAGATGAAGTCCGTCTGCTCTTGAAAGATTGATTGTCTTTGTCTTGGAAACATCGCCTTGATTGGCGATTGACATTGCTACAGCAGAAAAAGATCGACTGAGCTTGCTGTTCGGACTGTTTTCTGGGACGGACGTTGTGGTTTCTCCCGACAACACTTCGATCGCCGCCCGACAAACTTGCCCACCAAGCCAAGCGTGCAGTGCCGACGCAGGAAACAGCCAAACGAAAACCGCTAGCGGTCTCTGGTATAAAAAGGGCGGGCGACAGGAGCACCTATCTCTACGGCATCGCTCCACCACTCCCGCCTCATCGCGCCTCATCAGAATCACTTCTCCAATCATTTACCCAAACCAACACCAGCCCCGCCGCCAACAAAAACAATGGGCGGCACCACCTTCGCGCCAACCCTCCACTGCCCGCGCATGCCACCGCCGCAGTACGCGGCCGTCAAGGCACACTTCGCGACGCGCCTGCGCGCCCTCTTCCACCACGTCGCCGTCGGCCGCGAGGCCCCGGAGAAGCGCGACTACGGCGACGTCGACTACGTCGTGAGCCGGCCCAAGGGCAGCGTGCGGACGGGCGCGTGCGTGCTGGACGTCAAGGACCGCGTGGAGAGGGCGTTGGGCGCCGTGAGGGGGCGCGTCGTTGAGGGGATGCTGTTTTTGGCGTGTCCGATGCCGGGGGTTGCGTGGTGTGGTGGTGGTGGTGGTGGTGCAAAGAAGAAGGGAGAGGAAGAGAAAAAGGAGGATTTTGTCCAGCTCGACATCATTCTGTGCCCCTCGCCCTCGCTCTTGGAGTATGTGCTCTTCACCCGCTCGCATGGCGACTTGTTCGGCTTTCTCAAGACCGGCGTCCGCCCCTTTGGCCTGTCGTTGCGGCCGTCTGGGCTGTGGGTGCGCGTTGCCGAGCAGCAGGACGGCGGCGGCAAGTTGTTGGCCAACGGTTGTGGCAGTGCTGAAGCCAATGGAGGAAACGAGGGCCTGCTCTTCCTCAGCAGCGACGTCGACGCCATTTTGCAGTTCCTCTGCCTCGACAAGCGCAAGTGGGATCAGGGGTTCGAGAGGCTGCAGGACGTGTTTGAGTACGCTGTGTCGGCGCGGTGGTTTTCGAAGAGGGATTTTGGTGGCCAGAATGTGAGAGTGGTGACGGAGGATGGGAAGGGGAAGCTGGTGAGTCTGCCTCTTTTGCTTCTTCGTTGTTTTTGTTGCTACCCCTGAATCCCGATCTCCCCCTTGCACGCCTCCTCTCCCCGCAACAAAAGCGTTGACGTGCTAACTTTTGCACTTTTTACGCTCGTAGGCTCAGCCGCAGATTCGACGTGCGAACCACTCCTTCGAAGCCTACAAGGCCACACGACGCGACGTCTGGAACGTCTTCACAGCCTTCGTCGCGCGCCACGACCTCCCCAACGACCCCTTCACCACTTCGCCGTCGCCAGACAAAGCCAACGGCGCAGGCACCACTGCCCCCAGTCCCACGCTGAGTGTCCGCTCAGCCAGCTCGCATGTGTCCAACGTCTCGTCATCGGCGACGCTCGTCGACGACAGCGCAGCAACCCAGTGCAACGGACACAAAGGCGCCGAATGCGACGTGGAGGCAAAGGCGACGCGCGCAGCCGTCCTCGCCGCCGCCCTCGCTCACTTCCCCGGCGCAGAGTCCCGCTACCACGTCCACCTGGCCACGTGCGCCGCGGCGCGCCGCGAAACCGCCTTCTGGGCGCGCGTCAAGCGCGAGCTGCCCGGCCTCGTGGCAGCATCCACGACCGAGTGCCACGCAGACGAGAAGACGAAGCAGGCTGGGGCGCAAAACAGTAATGTGTCGGCGCAGCGCATCCGGCGCGTCGTGCTGGCGCTGCGGCGGTACACGGAGTTCGCGCGCGCAGTCGACATGCGCGACCTCGGGGCGGACGAGACGGCGGCGGTGCGCGTGCCCAGGCTGCGGAGGGCGGGGCGGCCGGAGCTGGATGAGGAGGCGTTTTGTGTGAGTCTTCCCCCCTTTCCCGCTCTCTCCTTTTCCTTCTCCCCTTGCTGCTTCAGCTGTCTTGTGGGTCAAGGCGTAGACAGTGGTTGACTGGCTGACTGGCTGACTTGCGAGCGAGCATAGTCCTGGACCGCCAGCAGTCCCAATCTGACGGACGACGACCTGCTGGCTTACGTCGCCGACAACTGGGCTGTGGCGTACGATCTGGATCGCTCGCGGACGCGGCCGCGGCGCGTTGTGCGGCGTGACGAGGCGGCGAGGAGGCGCGCGGGTAGACGGAAGGGCGGAGCGGTGGGTGGTGCAGCGGCTTGAATGTGTTTTTGGTTTGCGTGCTGGATGGTGTCGAACGGTGTTCTTGTTTTTGCTCTTTTTGACGTTGATGGAGAACTGGCAAAGAGGATGTGGAGCAGGGAATGAGGGAGCAGGATGCGATTGATCTGGCGGATAGTGTAGCGACCTGTCTGTCAGTCTCTTTGTTTCCCTTCCTACGCAAGGTAGTCTGTCGTCAGAAATTGAGAAGTGGTGGCCCGAGAGCTTTTCTTTTGGTGTTGTCAGTCTTGAGGCTACTGACGAAAAAGCATGAGATCTTCGGTACTACTGCTGCATGTAGACGCATTCGTTGACCGCCATAGCCTTGCCTGGAGAGTCTGCCTCCTTCCCTCCTGTCCCACTCTGTAGGCAAGACACGAGATCAAGGTTGCCAGCCTCACATCCATGCCCTTTGCCCTCCAACTTTCCACTCCATCCACGAAAAGCCGTTCCCTTTTATGTCTTCATCAGCTCCACGACCAAAAGGCATCGCACAGGCAACGCCATCCAGTCTGCCCAACTCCCCAGATCACAACCGACAAGTCCACTCCCTCGCGGACATCTCACTTAGTATCGTCCATCTTCTCCGCATCCGCCTTCAAACGCTCCTGCGCCTGCGCCGCCTGGCGATCCATCTCATCCACCTGACTCTTGACGTCGGCGATGACGCGACTCTGCTGGCCGTCAGATGCTACCATCGCCAGCCAAAGAATGCTGTCTGTGGATCTGGGGCTTGTATTTACCTGCTCGTCGGCACCGGAGCGCAGTTTCTGCACTGTCGCCATGAGGCTCAGCATGTCAGTGACTTGGTCGTTGTGCGCCGCGGCGTCGCTGTTTGCGGCAGTGGTGTTGGTGTTGGGCTGCTGCGTGTGAGCGTGAGGTTTGTGGGGTGGAGGGGGAGCTTACGAGGGAAGGCATGGTGGTGATTTTGTTTGTGGGGTGATTGTTGTGGATTGGACTGGGACGCAAGAGTTCCGTCAATGTGTTGAAGTGATGGAGTGTTTGGTGAGGCTGTGGTGATGGTTCGATGGAAGAGGCAGAGTGAGTAGAGTGTGGTGAAGAGTGCATAGAAGCAGAGCTCTTCTGCGCCTGAGATCCTTTTTGTTTGTACAAATACATGTGCGGAGGTGGAGACTTGGGGGGGCTTTGAAAAGCAGGAGCGACTCGAGCACTTGGTTGGATAACGCAAACGAAAATGTAAACACTCAACCTTTTCAGTTGTTGGTTCCATTGGCGGAGACAAAATGCAGATGATGGTCTGAAAAGCCACTTCCAAGTTTGTCGTCGATTCTAGCAGTCTCTTGAAGGAACCGCCGGCATGGATTTGGGAAATCTTCAGGGACTTGCAGTCAATTCAAAAGCACCAACAAAGATCACCAAATTGCAATCAAGCGCTTCCTTTGCACTTCTTTTGCTATGATCGTCGTGGCCGAGTTCCTTTTTGGATGTATCTGTGGCGCCGACACTTTCTACTGTCCTACATTTTGGTTGGCTGTGCCATGCGATACTACGTTTTCCCAATTAAGCATATTTGAAGGTCCGTCGCATGGCATCGCGTAGTCTCGCGTGGTCTTTCCGCCCCCACGTGGCACCCAACCTCAACACCACAGCGTCTCATCACCACTCACCGCGGCACGCATCCAGAGCTCCAAAACGCATCTCCCACCTGTGTCAACCCGGCCAAAACCTCTCCTCACCACCTCCTTTCTCCAAAATAACTCCCTCGCCATCCCCAGCTCAGTAACGACCACCCAGCCAAAAAGAAGAGCAAAGCAAAAAGAATGGGGCCTGACCGGGATTCGAACCCGGGGCCTGTCACATACAGGCATGTCTGCAGGACATGCGGAGAACCCGAAGCGACAATCATACCACTAGACCATCAGGCCTGATCTGGAGGAGGTCAGGAAGCCCCTTGCGCTGGTCCGATTGCTCAGATCAACTTGTTGGAAAGCGACGCGGGTTGCAACGTATATGAATGCGTTTGCTGAGCGGATTGGAGAAGAGCGGTTCGGCACCGTGCCCGTTCTCGGATCGCAGATAGCGACGCCTATGACCTACGGCGGCCTGGATTTGGGACAGCTGTGAGCGATAAGAGTTTTAAGATATGTGAGAATATCTGCTGTAGGATTTCAATTTTGAGGAGTTGTGACACGCTAATTCTTAACTAAGAAAAGAAAAGAATGCACTCGAACGTGACCAAATGGAAATGAAAAAAGGCAATGGCGCGTTATTTGGTGAACAGATACACTAGCCCAAGGCACCAAGAGTACCTCATCTCAAATGACCCACTCCGGTAGAATCCATATAAATCTCTATGTGATTTTACTGACAAAACTTCCCATCTTATTCCCCTCGCTCACAATTGCTCAATGCTATGACAGCTGCGTGAAAGATCCAAGTGCTCTAAAATCGCCTCCTCCAATCATATGAATTCAAACAGCTCCAACACGCTTCGTACCACTCCACAACTACTCACCACTGCCATGCCGCACATCGTCCTCGGGCCTCAACACACTGACCTCCTCGTCACGCTCCCTCTCCACAATAGCACTCTTGCCTCTGACCATGGCCATGATCATGTAATTCATGACAGCGCGCACGCCCATCTCCTCTCCGCGACGCACAATGTACCCGTTCAGATACTCAATCTCGGTCTGGTTGCCGCGCCGCACGTCGGCCAGCATGCTGCTGACGTTGTCCTTGGTCAGCGCCGCCACGCGCATGGCCATGGCCTCGAGCCTGTCGGGCGCGAAGCGCGTCCGCAAGCTGGGCAGGCCCTGCAGCTCCGGGAGGGAGCGGATGATGAGGCTGATTTCGGACAGGAGGAGCCGCGTCGCCCGCGTCAGGTGGTAGTTGTTGAGCAAGTGGCCGTTGCGGACGTCGAGGAGCGACGTCAGCGGGTTGACGAGGCAGTTGATGGCCAGCTTTTCGAGCTGCGCGCTTTGGATGTCGGGGGGCGAGAGGCTGATCGCGCAGAGCGCAGGCGTGCGCGTTATGGTGCGCAAAATGTACCGGGCAGACTTGGCCCACGCCGAAGGCGGTTCCTGGGGGACGTCATGGTCTACCGCTGGGGATGGGTTGGGCGTTGCAAGACCATCCGGACGTGGCATCAGACCGAGCTGGATGGTGCCGGTGCCGTTGTGGTTAACCACAAAGGGGCTCGGCGAGGATACGCCGTGCGAGATGATGCCTTGAATGTATGAAGGACGTGTCTCTGCGTCGTCAAACAGCTCGCGGCTGACTTCGTCCGTTTGTCCCATGCCGTTTTGCAAAAACGCAATGGTCGAATCGCGCGAGAGACGATGTTTGACGGCGCTAATGGCGGACACTGTTGCGGGAGCCTTGACCGTCACTATCAAGTTGTGAATCGGCTCTTGCGACTCGACACCAAGTCCTCGCTGCGTGGCATACTCAATGTCGCCAAAGGTATAACGAAATCCCTCTTCGATGGCCGTGGGAGGAACATAGGTCCGCATAAAGTCTTTATCATAGTCGACTTCCTTGCCATGTTCGCGTCGTTTGGGCATCGCCATTTCCACGTCGTACCCACCCATCTTTTCTGTTACGCCTCGCGCTTGGAGCGTTATTTCTTTTCCGGCCGCATGCCATTTTCTGAGGATAGATGGCTTGTGGAATAGCAACGTGACGGGAGGTGGGTCTGGGATCGTGCGGAGGTAGAACGCCAGCATTTTTCCTACACTGCCGGTTCCAAGGATGTAAATACGACGGGCAGCGTCTCGACGATCTTCTGGTTCGTCCTGAAGTCGAGTAGACGTGCTAAATGATCGCGGAGAAACGACATGGCTGTGAGTGTGAGCATTGAAACCTTCAATGAATAGTCTGGACTGACCTGTTTTCTCTCCGACTGAATTTGAGGGATCGTGATGGTGAAATAGGAAAAGTCCAAGGTTGTAAAGAGGCCGCCCCGCCCAGGCGAGTGCTACCGCCGGCGCATTGTGACGTCGTGTATGGTATTCTCTGCCGCAGACGCGGGAGAGTTTGGGAGAGGCCGAGCGAAGACAGATTGAAGGTGGCGCTAGAACATCAAGGGATCAAATGTTTGAATCGCGACTCCAGGGTCAAGCAAAGGCGGGTGAGTGGGGCAAAAAGAGTAGAGAGAGGGACAGAGCTCGGAGGTCCGCCGCAGCATGTCGTCGATCCCGGCCCCGAGGGGATGATCCGCCCCGAAGGATTTCTTGAGCTGCGAACGAGCTCCACGACCGCAACTCGAACTACAACCCCGCCGTCGCCATGGACTCCGTCGATCTGAAGCCGCTGATTGAGGACCTCGAAGATAACATCGACGACCTCGAAGAAACGCTCGAACCGCTCCTCAAAGATGCGCTCTCCGCGAACGCGAGCAAACTGCCGCTGCTCGACAAGGCAAAGCTCTACGTCCTCGTCACTTACGCCATAGAATCAGTCCTCTTCTGTACGCGACCGTTGGCGCATTTTCACAGACTATGAAGCTAATTCGACGCAGCACACCTCTCCCTCGCCGGCGTCAAAGCCAAAGAGCACCCCGTCTTCACCGAAATCTCGCGCGTGCGCCAGTACTTCCAAAAGATCAAGGAAGTCGAAAGCGGGCCCGCAAAGCCGACACAACGGCTCGACGTCCCCGCCGCCAACCGCTTCATCAACGCCGGCCTGGCCGGCAACGACAAGTTCGACAAGGAGCGCGAAATGCAGCAGGCCAAGGAGAGGGCGATGGCGCGCCTCAAGGCGGATCAGCTGAGCAAGAAGAGGAAGGCGGCGGAGACGGGCGGCAGCGGCGCAGAGGCTCAGAACGACCAGCAGCAGCAAGAAGACTCGCCGCAGGTCAAAAAGTCACGGCGCTCCAAGGCGGCGGACTTGTGGGAGGAGGGCACGCCGAAAGACCAGGGCAAGAAGAAGGGCAGGGCGGAAGACACGTCGGACCAGACGGACGAAAACGTAGAGGACGCGGAGGAGGGCGAGGCCGACGACGGCGGCGAAGAAGAAGCGCGCGAGTTGGCGGTGCGCAAGAAAAAGTCCAGCCGCGTGCCGCTGGGCCACAAGGAGGCCTTCAAACAGCTGCTGCAAGGCCCCATTTCCAAGCCGGAGGAGCCGGCCAAGAAGAAGACGAAGTCACGGTCGAAGAAGAAGGCCAAGGCATAGTCGCAAAAAGGGGTCGACGGACGATACTGGCATGAGGTTGAGGCGTGCGAGGGGAGTGAATTGTTAGGTTGGGCATGGCGTTACGACGGCGTTGAGGGATTTTTTTTCACCTACACAAGATACCATAGCAAGCGTTGGTGTCGAAGAGCATCACACACTGCATGCATGTATGTATGCATGGGCGTGGCTCGCTTCGAGTCGCGGAAATCAACACATACACACAAACACACCCAAAAGCACAGAACCCAAGAAGCCTTCGACCTTCCTTTGTGAGAGGCCCTCGCAAACGGGCAGCAGCAGCAGCAGCGTTCAAGACTCTTCCGTTCAAGCGTTGCATCCCGAGGCATGCGGACCCTGACAGTCTCTACTCCTACATCACGCTCCGCCACCAAAATCCTCTTTCGATTCCGTCTTCAGCGGAGAGTGGCCGTAGACTATGTAGACGGCGGCATGGGCAGATAGATAGCCAGACAGACAAAGCTGCGTCACGTCCGCGGCGGTCGAAAAGGGGAAGATGGCAGACAAGCTGACAACCACCGTGTGCTTTAAGTAGCGACGAGGGCGGACAAGGCACACAGAGCGTCTCGTCCACTGGCTTGATTCTCATGCTGTCACCCGAGGTAGACAGATAAATGGACAGGCAGACAGAGATGGACAGACAGACAGACGGACACACAGGCGACGAGAACAGGTGAAACGACACCACTGCTGCCAGGATGATGGACTGCGTAGACATATCATGAGTATTGCTATCCTTCTTTCTAGGATCTACCTATCCTTCCTTTCAGTCTGTTGTCTGTTGTCCGTCTCTATCTCTATTACTCCCCCTGTCCCACCCACATCCAACGCCACAGTCTGGTCTGTCTAAACCCAAGACGCAACGAAGCCAATCAATCTATCAATCTATCCATGCAACTGCAATCGCTCACGCGCTCCCTCCCTCCTCGCCAATCTTTTGATGGGGTGTGCCGCCGACTCCGACTGCTGATAACCCCCCAGGATAAAACAAGAGCAAAGGAAAAGGGAAACGAAATGGAAAGGAAAAATGCCGTAGTCGTGTAGTGCGTACGAGTGTATAACGCAACGCCGTGCTTCCGTCCTTTTGCAGTGCAGTAAGAGCAACCCGAACCAACGAAACGAAACGAGAAAAGAATCGGGACAAGGAAGGCAAACAAAGGGAAAGTGAATGTAGAGCGAAGGGGATGCGGAGGGAGGAGTCGGCTAAGATGTGTATAACGCATTCTTCCTCCTCTCTCCTTTCACGGCGGCCGTGGTCTGGATCCAACGTTGCTTTCGCAAGGGCGAACCAACTGATGAATGGTCCACGGGATTGAGTGGTCGTCTCCGACGCTTGCATCCCCCTAGCGCGGCGACGCTTCGGAATGTGCCATCGCACCCTCGCCCTCGTCGTGGAAAACCCACTCGACACCCTCTCCCGCCACCGCGCCCCTGCCGTCAAGGGCCACACGCACCCCGCCGTCATCATCACCCACATCGCCCTCCGCCTCAGCATCTGCCTCGCCTTCGTCTTCCTCGTCCGCCTCCTCGCCGCTATCCATGTTACCAGGGCCCTCGTCAGTTCCCAGCCCGACACCGCCGCCCTCGCGAGTAAATAGACTCTCGTCGCCCCAACTGCCGCCCCTCTTCCTCCCCAGCCGCCGCTCTCTCAATTTGGCGCGCGCCGCGCTGTCGCCGCGGAATAGGACGACGTCGGGACTGAGGCCGTGGCGCGTGGGCGAGAAGCGGGTTG